GTCTGACAGTAACTTTTCCTGTTCTGTAGCCCCAGATGACCTTTCCCCATTCTGTTACCTGGAATGAGATAGTATTGGAAAAGTTTTAACTGCTAAATACATATTGCGCAACACTGCAACAACAGCCAAGTTAGGCTATGCAATGCTTTGGATTTGAAGGCAAAAATATGCTTTGGAGCTCACAAAGGTGGGAATGTAGCTTGTCTGGAATGCCTTAAACTCAAAATATGTTTCTTAGGGTTGCTATATTAGCAAGACACTACATTAGCTCCCTTACATGTACCAAAGCACCTTTTCCCCTTGAAATCTGAAGTGCTCCCTAGGTCTATGAGTACTATTTAGCTCTCAATTTACAATGGGTAGTTCACTTATTAACCCCAGGGTATCATGCTTTCTTTTTCTCGTGCCTCTCTCTTTAAATGGGTATGGATGAACAAACCCAAACAGCAAGGCAAATGTTTTGGTTTGAACAGAGACAATTATATTTGTAAAGAGAATCTCTGCTCAATGTTGGGATGGTTTAACAGTTTAACTCTTGACTGTACAGTACCAGGAAACATCACTTTAATACTGGCAGAAAACATATATCCTGGGCATCTCAGGTCCAGCTGCAGATATCCAACAAACGGTTGGTATTGTACCAGGACCAGGCAAGAGAAAAAACTGAGATCAGTGAATCAGGATGGTAGCAACTTTGAGAAGATCAAACTTATAATAATGCAGCTGTAATTCTAGGATTGACAGAAAAGGGAGCCAAAGACAAAATACAACAGCACCATAGTATAGCCATTTAGTTCTAAAACTATTTGCAAAGCAATTTGACATAAGAGAGGACTACAAATTGTGATGCAGTCAGACAAAGTTCCAAAAAGCACCTCAGTGCATGTGCAGAGATTTGGGTCTAAACATTACACATTCCAGAATTTACCATTTTAGGTTGCAAGAATCTGCTTTTTTAAAATGCAACTCAAAGTAAAAATAAAATCAATGAAAAGAGAACTTGCATATGTTTAGGAATAAACTATGCATAATTTGTTTTTCTGATGCACGACTTTACTATAAACTAGGTCTTATTTATGGGAAACAATTACAGGATGTGACTTCAGCAACACCTGCAACATTCTCTAATTCACACAGTGCATTTGTAGATCAACAGTCCAAAGTTTCAGATGTTACAATGAATCTGCTGTATTTCAGAAACATAAGTTACCCAACAGTGCTTCAAAGAAAATACCAGGCTCTCAGTTTTGGGAAAAGAAGGAGAAGAAGTTAGGGCAATTAACCCTTTGAAAATTAAAAAGAAACAAAAAAGAGGAAAACAAGAGAAAAATTCCAATGTGTATAAAAAACAGTTGAAAAGTTAACATGAAATAAAGACAGTTCTGACCTGTAGAAAGAAAAAAAGAAAAAAGAAATCTCCAGCAGCAAGATGGAAGTAGGTTCAGAAGAGACCCATGGAATGCCAATCACCCTAGGCTTCACAGCGTACCCTTGGTTCAAGAAAATTCAAACACAAAGCAGCAATCCATGCTCCCGATACAACTTCATCAGAAATGTACAAAACAGCACCTGTAAACTTTGATTTAAATAATAACTTAAAATCAAAAGAAAGTGACAAAAGGGCTAGGGGGATGCAGGATCTTTGTGATTTTTTTTCCTTTTTGGCTGATGCCAAAAGTTAGAATAAGTCAGAATAAAAGCACCAAACAAACAAAAATATTAAGTGTTTTGGTTTATGCTTCTTGACTAAGCAAGGTCTTTGGTAAATGGTTAAGCCAATTGCAAAGCATTCTATAGAGGACACCAGGGAGACATTTAAATATGGTCCCAAGAAAAAAATGAGGTGTGGTGTGTTTTTAGTAAAAGGAGGATAGATACATTTTCTTGAGCTGCTTCTGGAGTAAAGCTGGGACCCGAGAGATGGATAATAAAAGTGTTGAGGTATTCTTAGTGCTTGCAATCCTATATTGCCTGTCTTTGTGGTCCTTGAAAAGGAAGCCACTTGATGATGGTTCTCTAAGGAGGCTCAAAAAAGCTGTTGTAATTTGATTCACACCCCATAAACATGATCATCTCCAGTTTTCTGCAGCTTAGACACTGTTGGCCCCCTTAAGTGTACAGCCCCTTTCAAATCAGAGCAATTAACTAATTTTATCTAAATAACAAACTTTACAATTTTGCTTGCCTGTTAGAAATAGTAGGAAACGAAGTAGGGGAAAATGCATGTTCAGTATAGCCCCATACGGTAAGCTCTAGGAATCAAGTCCTGACAAGTTTTCTGAAGTAAGGATTGTGGACTTTCTTGCAGTCATAATTCAGAAATGGAGAATATTTTTCATTTTTGGTGTTCTTGATTTTACTTAGATTCAAAATCAGTTTGAATCAGTTTGACATATTTAATAAATTGAGATCTTGGAGAAGGGGAATTTTAGAAAGGAAGTATAAACTGTTTGTTAGATGGACAATGCCAAGAATTAAATTAACATTTTCAAATTTTACCAAATCTGAGATTTGAAGTCAAGACATTTTCTCCACTATGGAAAAAAGATGGAGACTGGCCAAGATCAGCCAGCTACCATTCTTTCCTTTTTTTGATGCTGGTATGACACACCATAGCCCTAACTAGGAGATAGATTTATTTTAAAAACTAAGCAAATAGAGATTATCCAGTGCTTTAGAGTTGTTGCAAAGAATAATCCTCAGAATAATCCTCCATCTTTTTTTTAAAGAGAGAAAATTTGATTTGGGCTAAGAAATTTGACACCAATCACGTACAAACAGAAATCTGTGACAGATCAGGAATAATGTTCCTTTTTGTGATAGGTAAAAAGGCTCAAGTGCTAGCTGATTTATTATAATCTTGGGAGTTAAGAGCATTTAAAAAAAAAAAGATGGTCTATTACCATAGTTGGCCAGCTGCGGAAAAGGACACTAAGAATGTACTGTATTTGAGACAAATGGAGCAATTCTGCATATAAGGAAAATACAATCCCCCCCTTTTCTCTTCCCCTTTGAAGTCAAAAACACTTATGTTACATATTATCAACTGCCATGAGCTGCATAGTGTTTGGAGCAATGAAAAAGCATTATTTAACGATGAAAATCAGAAGAGTAGAAAGCAATCCTAAATTAATCAGAAATATGCTGACGAAGTATTCTTGAGCATCTTAGTTTGGGGAGGTCATTTAGCATAATTATCAATATTGAACGTGACTATTCACACATAGCTGTGATGATTTATTTTCTTCATGGACTACAGAGTATAGAAGAGGAACAGCTGTCATTTCAGAAAACATCAAATTGCCTGGATCAGCTCGTCTCCAAAATAATGGGAGGAACTCCTATATTCCAATTAGGCCTGAAAATAAATTTCAGAGATTTCCTGATGGGAAAGGGAAGCATGTGTTGGTTTGTTGTAGAAAGACTTCCTTAGAAACATTAATATCCATCTTCCTTGAGATGTTGGCTTCCTGATCATACAGAAAGCAAACCAATTTTCTCAATCAGCAACTGTCACAGTCTCAGTAATCAATGAGGGGCATTTGGGTTGTTCTTTCAGGGGGGGGGGGAACAGCAAAGTAGCCTTTGGAAACCTGATGTTTTCTGTCATGCGAAACACTCTTTAGATTTAAAAAAAATATATTCTGATGTGAGGCAGCAGACAATTGATAGAATCAAGTAAGGGGGAAAGTTTGGGTCAACACTATTCATCTGACACATTTAATTCTTGTTATTAGTTTTGAAGCATCTTTTTTCCCACATTGACTTACAGCTAAGAACTAATGAATAGCACAAGAGTTGCGGGACAGGATATATTTCTACTAGAGAATGTCAGAGGAAACTGAGTGCTCCTTTGTAGCTTTGTTCTGGTTGGTCACAAAGGTGGGGAATTGCTTATCTTACATTTATACAGATATATTGCTTTGAATTCTGTTTGGTCAACCCAGTTTTGGTCTGTTCCCCACAGCCATAAATTTCAGCTTATCCCCCCTTTCCTATCCCAAGTGCTTGAGATGTTGGTAGCTTTGCCAAATCAGCGGTATTTACATCTGTTAAACCTTCCCATTGGTCACATAAACAATCAAGGAGTCATGCTTTCTGGCTTCAATATTTGCTGGAATGGAAGAAACAGGATGGCAGCTGATAGAAGCAAGCAAAAGATTCATCTTGCAGAAGTCTCTCCCTGATTCAGTCTCAACCATTATCTTGTCTGCTGGCTGCCCATATATAGGCTTCTGAAAGTGTTTAAAATTATGTCATGGCAGGGAATGGACATTCATTCCTGGATTTTGTGCAGAATAAAGCTTTGTGAGTCGAAGACTGGCTGTCAATCATGACTGGTGATAGAAGAATGCTTCTTGAATTTGGAAAGACGCAAACACAGGTTGGAAGAAAGAATAACCAAGTGGTTTTATATGTGGCAGTAACCCCTTGCTATCCCTATAATGTATTTAATAAAGTAAGGTCAGTTTTTCATTTTTTGCCCAGTCAGAAAATGAACATAAATTGCAACATTAGGATCTTGGCAGAGGTCTTGCTTCCATTGCTATTCCAGTACTCTGAAGTGGTGTTACAGTGGCAAGGATGTATGTGTGTAAGAAATGGAGACAGTGCATGTGTGAAAGTAAGAAAAAGTGAGAATAGATTCCTCCTAGTGCAAAGTTCTCAGTGGGATTACTGGCAAACTATTGAAAATGCTTTCCATGGGAAAATAAGGGACATTCACTGAAGCCTTTGGCTTTGATATTGTCCCTTAATATACTGGATGCTTCCAAAATCTTGATTTGTGGAAACCAGGCATATGGGTTGAAAATGACAAAACACAGAGCAGACAATACAAGACAGCTTCTTTTTTTATCCCCATGAGATGGGGGTATGGGGAGGGGAGGCAGCAAAGAAGTCTTCGGACAGAAACAACCTACCATCCTCGTTTACCAATTACAAAATTTAAAAAAAAAAATAAGAAAAGGAAAAAGCTCAACTCCGGTTTTTGTTTTTTTCCCCACATCCCCTCTGTGAATGTCTTTTAAGAGTCATTGGGATGTAAAAAGGGGGGAAAAAGTGTGTGCCTTCAGCAGTGGGTAGGCTCATGGAAAGCCTTTTGCTTTGTAGAAGTGCCTTAACTAAGTAATGCTGAAGGTCACCTTGAGGAGATGGGAGCCATTGCTTTGTCTCTGGGAAATGATGGACCCTACATGAAGATGAAGGGCCCTTAAGACAAGTCTTCCACTGGCAGTTCCTCCTCTAGGTCTCTGTCATCAGGAATCGTCACATTCTGATTGGTAGTTGCCATGAGAGAAACAGGTCTGCTGTCATCTTCTGTCTCAGTTGGTTCTTCCTTCACATGCACTTGATGGCTGAAGAACAAAATTTTGGAGAATCAGGTGGAATTAGAACAAATACAATAACAGTCTACAAGAGATTGGCAAGGGAGTTTTCAGATGGAACTATATAACAGAGGATCAGAGGTTAAACAGAGTATTTGCTTAGCTGGATAGCAATACTCTTCTGACTCTCATCCAGATCCTAAATATCCAGGTCTCTATATATTTTCAATGAAACAGAAATATTCAGTTTAGCTTAGTCACTTGTAGAGTATTTCATTGCAATTTTAATCTATGGTCTCCTAGCAGATTTTTCCAATGATTAAATTTTTGTCATTAAGAAGAATATTCCTTTTCTCCATAGTTTCTAAACATTGTAAACTAAATCCTTTTGTCAGTACAAGTAATTTTTCAAGCTATCTTTTGATGACTGGACCATAGTGAAAATATCTACCTGTTACTAAGAATAAATAGAGCAATATTCACTGGAGCTCTTAATCAATAGTGTTACTGATACAAGACAAATAACAAACAAACCTATAGATTGCCACTGTAGGCTGAGGGACAGCTCTGTTATGAAAAAATATATAACTGTTTTGAATTGCAAATCTTATCTCAGTATTACTAAGAAGCTTGTATGAAAGTCCTACTTATTGACAAAAATAAGCAACTGATGAAGTGGGCTAATTCACGAAAGCTCACATGATAATGAATCTCTTAGTTTTTACTGTCTCAATATATTTTCTTTTTGCTGTAAAAGCTTAATATGACTATTTTTGGACATCACTAACAATAGAAGTTCCAGATCTATTTCCAGTTTGCATAAACTCTTGAAAAAAACCTAAATTGATTTTCTACTAAACTGTAAGAGACATTTAAAGACTTCTGGATCTAGTAATCTTGCTTCTAGAAATAGCATTGTGTTAGCACTTCCAAGAAATTTCATTTAATTTCAATATATGAAGCCTTTTATGCAGTGGTGGGATTCAAATATGTGAACAACCGGTTCTCTGTATGGATGCTGCTTCTGGAAGTCCGTTCTGGGCCTGGGCAACAAAGAATTAACCACCATTCTGCTGAACTGGTGCGAACTAGCTGAATCCCACCACTGCCTTTATGATTAAAAAAAACACCTTGTTTCTGGACTTACTTGTACTGCTGTGGTGAAAGCCGGGGGCTATTGCTGCCATTGCTGTTGACTTGTTCTACAGTGCTGCTCACATCATCATGGCCTATGTGCAGCATGCCACTAGTGGAGCTTGTATTGATCATGGTGGGACTATTCAGAAGAGGAAAGTTGCTCTCAGCCAGAGCTGCCTAAACATAAACAGCAATTGGTATAATTCACAAATTCTTAAAGAAATCAGATATGACATGTTTAGAAAACAACCCCAGATATTTATTTACTTAGTAAATGGTTAATATTTTTCCTTATACTAACAGTACCTTTATTTTCCAGAAAAAAAATCAAAGGTTTAGACAAATAAAAATTTATTACTTTATTGAGAATATTTATTTTCTACCTTTTCTTTCAATAATATATCAGTTAGGATGGCTTACAAGGAAAAATAGTTCAACCTAGATAACTAAAAGATATTTGAAAGTCCCATCAGTTTCACCTCTATGGTTTTATTCCTTTATGGTTTTATCCATTTAAAAATATTGAGACAAAAACCTTGGTCTGTTTGAAGCAGATGTCAGAAATATAAGCTTTCTAGGTGTGCTGATAAGCTTTTGGTCATTGGCTAAGATGATCTGAAGCTTAATTTAATGAGATTCATTAAATAGCTATATGTCACTCGTTCCCTAACAGAAAATATGCCTAAAACATCTACACAGCTAGTCCATGTTGGGATCCAATGCTATCTTTTATTCCAGTCTGTTATTCCCCATCAGAAGAGAAGGGTAGTAGAGGGATCAATCCACTGACCAAAGCTCAAAGCATTCAGCTCCAAGAGAGACTATCTATTCTGTCATTTGCTGTCACCGATTTCTTCTCACCTTGCTAAAAGTTAGAACTTATACTGTGAAGCAAAAACAAGCAAACACTGCAATGTAACTGAAACAAGAAGGTGGATATTGGAGTCCCAGGGGCGGTGAAGTGGTGTGGGCTATAGTGATCTGGTTCCTCTGATTATCTTGAGGAAAAGATACCACATTGAATATTCTGGAATATAAACTAAATGAAATAATGACTTCAATGATCATTGAAAGAGTTTTGAAGATTTTCTACAATGCAGTAGTACAAGATTCCAATAGACCAGGAGTTTAACGAACCCAATATTCCCCTAACAAGGATGGCTTGCTGTAATAGAAACAAGTGCACTTCTCCACCTATAAAGACTTACCTGGTAGCTGGCATTAAGTGCTCCATAACTAAGGCCAGAAATCATGTTTTTCACTAAAGTTGGACTCCTGTAAACAAAAGATGCAGCTTTTAACATTCTTATTCAAAAACAAGAGTAAGATAGCAGAGACGTCTTGGAAAGAACACATTGTTTATCTCCGTTATTGTTTAGTCCTTCCCAATTCCCATAATTTACAATTCTCATAATACAAAACCAGCATGTTTAGGAGTATTGGGATATTGCTAGCCTAGCCTTATAATGCAGCTATTTACTCTCAATATATATTAAGTCCTGTTACCGTGTGTCTTGTTTTATTTTACACGTTGCCAGACTATTCAGGAAGGACTCCTGAAAAGAGAGGGGGGAAAATAGGTGAAGGTAATTTCTCCCTACTCCTTGCAACATAGCCATTATCATTATGGGAACAATTCTGGATATTTTTTATTACTTTTTTAAAAATACTATTCATCCTGTTTTATGGTTGATGTTTTTCAGCTACTTGTTACACTTAAGGATGTCTCATACTAGTGTATATACAACCGTGGTGGTAGAAGGCAAATAAGAGTTACGTAGGCGTGCAGTCTTGCACAGAATAATATTAGCATGTTTAGAGTAAAACTGAGCTCTTATAGAAATTATAGCATACTGGCCAAAATGCCAAACCTGGCTGACACTTATCATTAGCAGGGAATTTTCTATGTGGTAAAATTGTGACTATGTCTGATAACCTTCTCTATTTTATTATCCTCCCCTCCCAAAAACCCCACTGATTCTTGATTAATCAAAGCCATGATAGGCATTAGGCATTGGAGATCAGTATCTGTGAATCCATCTGTTGTTGACCATGGCATATAGGAAATTGAAAGACTGTTGAAATGCAGAATGTTTTTCCATTTACAAATATACACAAACATACATATGAAATATAGTGAGTGGTAGTAGTGTAAATTGGTGTAGATTTAGCTGTTAGCTGTGATATAAAAATAGTAATATAATAATTAAGCAGAAAGCTACAATTGGAAAACAAATGTTACTTTGTTTCTAAATCTTCGATATTTGGCTTAATATTTTTTAATTATTAAAGATTTTTAAAGTGATTTAACTATAAAATTAAAATATTTCTCTTTTATCTATATCAGTGGTGGCGAACCTATGGCACGGGTGCCAGAGGCGGCACTCAGAGCCCTCTCTGTGGGCACGCGTGCCGTCGCCCTAGTCCTAGGCCTTCAGCTGGGTTTTATAAAACCTTTTTGCTTTAAGCCTCCTCCGTTGTGTGCAAAAAAAAAAAAAAAAAGGTTCAATCAGTCAATTTCAACTTCTTGCGGGAAAAAAAGATCATGCAAAATTGAAATTGATTGATTGAACATTTTAGTCCCACCCAGTCTGCCGTTACCACCGCAGCCACACCCACCCAATGGGCCACACCCATCCGGCACTCGATGATGCATAAGTGGGTTTTGGGTTGCAGTTTGGGCACTCGGTCTCTAAAAGGTTCGCCATCACTGATCTATATTATTTACATTGCCTCAGTTTTTATGTATAAATAAACCTCTAAACATAGCTAATGGCAAAACAAAAAATGGCTTAGCGTTATTTAACAACATTTTGTCCACAAAAAGGTACAGCACTACTGGCCTGCTACCAGTGGTTCCTTCTTATTTATGGAATACCATTAGCCCCTTTCAGTTACTATTTGGTATCTGCCCTTTGTATCTGTTCATTCTGCCAAAATGCTTCAGTGTATTTTTACCACTGCTTGTACCTGCTGAGGTGATATTTGCAGCACAATTCTATATATCCAAGAAGAATTATTTTGATCATGTAAATTTCCAGAGATTAATAGTACTTATAGCAATAACACGGGTATCAATGCATATTGCATGTACCAGATACTTTCTCTTTTCTCATTTCCACCTGGTCTTCTTTTGACTGTTCTTTATTGATGTATAAAGTATCTTTATGACATTCCCAAAGGAACATTTAGTGACAAGTGTCTGATGCTGATAAGGAAAATTTACATTGCACACACCTATATACACATGGAGTGTGAAAGTGAACACATAGCCAAATGATTATAAAATCATTCAGTAGTGTGCTGTGGTTCTTCACTCAAATAAGCCGACATGTCAACAGAAGCATTAGTTATTAAAGCAAAAGTTAAAATATGGTTCTAAAAACCTAAATGTATAATGAAGTCCCTCAAGAATGCAATAATCATACAAGCCTCTCAGTCACCTCTTTTCCCTGGATCATTTGGTGGGAATTATATTGGGGTTAAATACTCAATTCAAAAATATACTACTAGCTTATGCTATGTACTATTAGCTTATAATATATCAGTGATAGCCATAAGCCTAGATATTTTAAAAGCATTCATGGAGGCTATGAATGACTAATAGTTATGACAGATATATATCGGTATGAAAGCCAATGCTCCTATTCCAGAGCTCCCATGCACTTCCCATCTCCATGTAGTCTGGACTTTGCATACGCCCAACTATTCTCATATCTCAGCAGATGGCATCATTGGCTTACCTTGTCTGTGTTCAGAAACTAAGCAGAGTAATATATACATCTGAGATCACCAGAAAATAACATGAGTATAGGCCAGTTTCAGGATTAATATTATAGAAAACCACTTAGGTTTTGTGTGTTGTGTTTATTTAGTCACTAAGTCAGGGGTCTTCAAACTTGGCCCTTTTATGACTTGTGGACTTCAACTCCCAGAATTCCTCAGCCAGCTTTCCTGGCTGAGGAATTCTGGGAGTTGAAGTCCACAAGTCATAAAAGGGATAAGTTTGAAGACCCCTGCACTAAGTGTTATACTCAAGGCCACCTTTACTTTTTCAAAATTGTTCTCAGATTGAACCATAAAGCTACCTGACAAGCTATCAGACATACCCGGTCATCTTTGGTGGCCTTCTCTTTTGGTACTCATGTTCATCTACTGTCCACACTGCTCCCTTGACATTTTCCACTCGCACAAAGCACTTATGCAGGCTCAGGTTGTGGCGTACAGCATTCTACAAGCAGAGTAGAGAGAAAAACAGAATATTATCAAAGTAGATGAAGATCTCCCATTTAACAGTTCCTCTCCAATAAAATTTTCCAATTAATTTTTGTGTTAACCAAACATAGCCTCCTACAGAGCTGTCATCAGCAAAATGATATCTATATTCTAAACAACTCCATATAACAGTGTTCTAAGGAAGGATTGGTTTCACTTTATCATATACTGAAATCAACATATAGTAATTATTGTAGCAGACAGGTTTTTGTTGAATTATCTCAATTCAATTGTCCTATAATATTGCTCATTTATACCTCTTGATCTGTATGAAATCTTTGCTACTAAACATTAACAGTCCCAGTTAACACGTGTCATAATACAGACATACTCATGGACTATCCTGACGAAATTCAACAGTTATGAGATCTGAGCTGCGTGAAACAGAATGTCAGCAATAGGAAAAAATATGATCACGAGTTACACGAGACATCACTGCAATGAGATCAAGTGCCCACAGCCGCTTGAAAAAGACTATTACTTAGAGATACAAAAGGAAGGGATTACTGTACGACAATTTCAGTCTAGTTTTCCTGAAAGTCAATGGACCTCATCAAATCGGCAACCACCCTTTCTTAAACTCTAAAACATCTAGTAATAAAACTTCCATACAACAACCATGTGTTGCAATCTAATTTTTACGGGTTTTTTTTATTATTGTTATTGTTTTTCTTTCCTTACCAATCAACAATATTCACAAACCACCCTACATATTTGCTTACTACTGGCTAAATTAGGGGGAGAGGGGGGAGAGGAAAAGTAAGCTCAGATATTGCAATGAATTTCTATTGTCATCTTCTTTCTGAAACCCCAAGTTCTCCCTCCTTTTTCACAGCACGTCCCTCCTCTTTATTCTCCCATCTTTACATTTCTAAATGTAAAAATAAAGAAAATGCACGTACACAGGCAGTGTTGCCCTGAGAGCTACTAGCTCCTTCTCCCCCCACTTTCCGTCGCTCCCTGCCATTTGCTACTGCCCCTATTTCATTACCAATTTTAATTTGCCTCTAATTAAATCCTGTGTATTTTTCCGACTCACTTGCTAATCCATGAGGGAGGCAGGAGGCTGGAGTGGAATCTCTCCGAGCTATAATTACAAAGGGCCTAATCACGTTGGGGCTCTGCCTTTGAATAAATTTCCTTGCATTAAGGTTCTCAGATTCTCTGCCTTGCAAATGAGAATGACCCCAATTTCAGGATGTTGGCCTCAGAGGATTTTTTTTTTTTATTTCGAGCCCTGATTCGTGATGAGAGACTAATTCGTTACGCTAAAACATTAACAGCAATTTAAAAGGTCGAATGGGGGCCGTATAAACAAAAGAGCTGGCCAAGACAACAAGGCAAAAGCGAGAGATGGGAAACAATCCCCCCCCCACCTTAGAGATGTTACAGTTCTTGGAAACTCAATGAATTAGACTTTTCCTCCAATTTTGGATACTGTTTATTTTTCAAGGTCTTCTCCCCACTTAGTTATCCAATTGTAATTATGCAGTTGTTCCTCCTCAATGCCTCTATTCCCCAAATTTAGAAAGGAAGGCCTTCTTTTTTTATTTTTGTTATAAAGGGCATTTTTGTCATAAATGTTTGTAACCACATTAGGTTTGATATTGCTGACACATCACTTGACTAGTGAAAGAATTTAGCAGTAGAAAAAAACTTCTTTCTTGGGGCTGAAAAAGACCGCACTGATTGACAGAAACGGTAAGAGTGAGTTCTCATACTGGCATGCCTATTACAAATTTTTAAAAAAAGATATTTATATGAGATTATAGAAATAAAGTAGACAAAGGCTAACCATAGAGTAAGAGTATGATGTATTTTTTTTAATTCATCCATATATCAAAGAAAATCAGAAATCATTCTTTTTTTGTTTTCTTATCGTTTTTCCTTCTACATTTCTAGCTTTTCTTTTTTTTCTCTTTCTTAAACCTTTTTTCTTGTCTGTTTATCTTTTAAATTTTTCATTTATAAAAATCAATAAAATTATTTTTAAAAAAGAAAGAAAAAAAAAAGCTTGCATCTGACTTTGCTTTGCTACTCCTTGGCAGCTAAAGAATTTGTCAATAGCCTTCAATCATTACCACTGAAGCCTTCTAGATTGTGGGGACTCCGTGCTCCTTGGGGCAGCTGTGCGGAACTTTGCAATAGCTTCAGGGAATCTGCATGGTATCATTGAAAATAGTAAAACAAGTTGCAATCTAATAAAATGCTTTCCCTAATTGCTTTGCTGGTGTTAATACAGAAACCCAGACAGTATTTGTTCTCCTGCATGTTTTCCAATGACATTTAAACTCTTCACTTTCTGTGGTATTGATGGTAGCGTGAGGTTCAGATAAATGCTAAATACTGTTTGGTGGATTATCTGTAACCAGAATAGCCTCACTGAAGATTACCTGTAATAGATATCCCACAAATAGAGGGACATGGTGCATGTGTATGTAAGAAAGCAAGAAGTGAGTTGAAGAGGGCAGGAAAAGAATGAAAATGATAAAACTTAAGAATTCCATTTCAGATAAAAATCAAATCTATATCTCTACATAATCCCAACACTGAAATCAAAGATATGTTAGGCTCTTTCTGTAAAAATGCTGTTGCCTTATTCGATATCTGGTTGGAACACATAATTGGAAAACAAATGATGCATTTTTTTCTTATGGCTCAGAAGAATGATAATGCATTTGGAAATATACCATTCATGTTTTCTTCTCAAGATAGGGTTGTGATTTTCTTGTAGGGACAGTATCCTGTGCACATTTGTTTCCTAATTAGACAACTAACCAGATGCTATGGTTTAAAAGTGAGTCTTGCTCTTCTGGTAATCAGAGGTCCAGTTCCAAACCTAGATTTGATTTAGCATCAGTGTGCTATTTTATTGCTTTTGCCCATATCCTGTAAACAGAGGTGTGACATTATCTTATTTTGTATACCTAGTAAGAAATGTAATAGTAACATAATGACTGTGATTTATTATTGATCCCCTTTCGTTCTACACTATTCTCACATCTTTCTGGAATTTTTTTACAAGAATGTTCAGTTCAAATTTATATCATAATTCCAATCTGATAGCTGACACAACTTGGCTTCTGAAGGATCCTCAACTTTTTAGCATTTTGGAACTTACCATCTTTTATTCTTCTTTATCTTCCCACCAGTGGGTGGTAGCAGGGTTCTGTCAAGCACATCTTGCTTTTTTTTTTTTGCCTCAATTCTGTGACTCCCTGCTCTAGGGAGGCCTTCTTGCCTGATTTTATGCAGCTTTTGTATTTTTACAGAGTATTTGTCTAATATCAGCCTTGGCTGCTCTGTTTGTTTCTTATCTTTGCCTTTTCTAATGATGTTTGCTTTATGCCTCTGGCCCAGCCGGTCTCTCCAGCTCAAATCCCAGCCATTTAGTATCTCCCTCAGTTCCTTACCATGTGTGCTGCTGTTGTCATATCATTGAAAGCCTCCTCACACCTGTCTCTTTATAGGCACTGGCCACTTTACCTTTTGGCACCTGTTTACTTTGCATTGTGCTCAGCTTCTACTAAAAGAATATTTCAAAGTGCTCTAGAAGGATATCTAAATGTTATTATCATTAAAACATTGAAACACTTTCTTTGTATCACACAAAATATATACAGTATTTGCAGAAAAAAACACACATCCTGGTGTTAAAATCTCTGTTCTACCCATAATCCCTTTGAAAGAAAAAAAAGACACTTTGCTTTAATTCTTCCAATGAAAAAGAAAAGCATATCTAGAACTTTCTGTGATAACTAAACAGCCATGTTGGAAGAAAACCCACAAAAATAATTTAAAAAGTTTTTCACAGACAGGGGCTTTAAAGTATCATTCTTCAATTTGCAGTAACATTTTTTCTAATATAGACAGGATGGCTTATATGTGTGTATCAATAGAGAACACAAAGATGGACAACTTTTTCTCCTCACCACTTCCTGCAAAGGTATAAACACAAACATTTGGATGTCCAGTTTCTAGCCTCACCTCACTAGTTCTAAAAGGAAGTCTGTCTGACATTTTTCCAGCACTCCCCTTCTCACCCCATTTTCTCCACTTGCAACATGCACAGTATATAATTTGTTTAGTAGGTACAACCAAAGTGCTTGTACTTGTAGTGTTTGAACCAAACCATTAGAGGGAGTCAATGATTGGTCAATGATTAGACCAGTTTGTTTCAACTTTCAGTTTCACAGACACCTATTCTGATTAACAATGTGGTTTTTGCTTCAAAGTAAAGAAAGAAAATAATAGTGTCATCTAACCATATCTTGACTCAGATCTATCCCTATCATAAAAAATAAATATTAAAACACTGTAGGTGGTATGGGTCTTCCTCTAATCTCAGGTCCTGTACTAGAAGACTGAGAGTTTGAAAATTGTGCGCATTACCTTAGTTCAGGGATCCCCAGCCTATGGACCCAGTGGCATGCCAGAAACTGGGCTGCGCAAACAAGCAAAGCCCCATCTGCAGGATGCAGGCAGCATGCGAAACCGCGCCCCCCTCCGGTCCATGGAAAAACCTCTCTCCATGGAACTAGTCGGTAGTGCCCAACAGGTTGGGGACCGCTGCCTTAGTTGTTCCTAACACTGTACTTTTCTGGTCAGGAAGATTTGATCTTGTTCCTGGAATCTGTTGGAGCCATTTAGAAGTCATAGCCCTGTTCCTATCACTTTGAGACCACTTTGACCTTTATTTTCCACATCCTCTCTAATTCTATCTTCAGGCCTAGTACTTCTCCAGATTCTCATACTTCCTGAGGCAGTCACTTGACACCACTACATCTATCACCAATGCTGTTTTCACACCACAACCCCATGAGTATATGTGTGTGTGTGTGTGTGTGTGTGTGTGTGCCAACCCTCCCCCAACAATAACCTATGCACAGGGATTCACTTTTAAAAAATTATTTACCTGAGATGCAAATAATAAATGTGAACATTCATCATTCCAAA